GACGCATACTATTGCTTTTGGCTTAAAAATCATTTTTCATCCATTTAAACACCAATTTATATACCCGTAACTTATCCTATAAAATCATATCATAATAACCCAATTTTCCATTATTTTAACACCCTAATTTCATCTATCATGTCATGGGATCAAGGATTTACAATACTTGAAAACTACAACACCAATTCTTCATCTTTAGTCATCAGTTCATCATCTTTAATCACCAATCCATTCATTCATATCAATTTTTATGCTATCTAATCATACTAAAATCACTTATTATGGTATAAAATTAAATATTAACAACAAATCATAACCATTGCACCAATTCATCAATTATCATCATCAATTCATCCTCATCAACAATCTAATTCATCATCTCCCATCATCAAAGATTGACATTGCAACAAATCACCATCATCAACATAATTCATCATCAAGGATCAACAACACAACAATTCATCAACTACACAATTCATCATCAAGGATCAACAACATAACAATTCATCATCATAAGGTTATCAACTATCAAAGAATGATCAAATCATATGTCTATGATTTCTTCACATTATTCACAATTGAAAACGATTACCCTTCTTACCTTGTTATTTCTAGCAATCGATCTATTTAAGCTCTAAGGAATTGATTCCTATTAGTTCCTTGTACCCTAGCTTCTCTTTCATGATCTCTCTATCTCTTTTCATGTACAATGCAAAAGTGGTATCACTTTTTCCCAATTTCCTTTTATTTGGTAAGCTTAAACCCTTTCAATGTCTTTCCCAACATGCCCTCAACCAATCCTCGTAATGTTACCATCATGCTCTTAGAATCTCTTTACACCTAATATTCTCTTTATTTTATTAATTTAATTATTATCATATAAACTAATATATTTAAATTAATATAATTTCTAATTCTCACATATACTCCTACCAATTCTAACATGCAGAACAACACACGTCAACAATATATTCACAGATGATTATAACAACGAATTCAAAATTTTGGGGTGTTACATTTGATACCAAAAGGAGTAGCAAGATTCAATAAATCAATTGGTAGTTGTTGTGTCTCGGTCTTGCTCAAGATCAAAAGAAGAGAAGGGGTTGAATCAACATCAAACGGTTGTGTTTGTAGGGTTGCTCTTGGAACACTTCTTTTGTAATCACTTTTTACATTGTAAAAATTTATACTAATTCCAAAATTAGAATTGGAGGGAGACGTAGCCATAACAAGGACGATTGTGAACTTCCTAAACAAATCCTCGTGTTTCTCTCTCTTACATATTTGCTTGCTTTATCTTTCATTAAGTAATTTGTCAAACAACATTGATTGAACGATCGACTCGTAAGAATTTTTCTGTGGCTATTTTTGTTTTGAATTGGTTGTTGGTTAGCTTATAATCACTTTTTATTATAAGTGCTTTTTCATATCAACACAACTCAAGGAAAAATTCTGAAAATTCGATCGCACACCAAGTGTTTAATAAATTTCATAGTTAATTGTTTTTGTTTGTTTTCATTGGAAATAGTATTTCTAGTAACTTGCTATAAACGAACAATATTATGATACTTGTGTTAAGTTAATAAATTCAGTTTATTGTGTTATTCATTCCATAAGGCTATATTGCATATTCGACTTCCAATAACTAGGTTCGTAAGAACGACTTTAATCGATATATATACAAAAACCTTCCGCTAGCACTTTTTTCAATCAACTTTTAAAAACCAAATTTTATTTGGAATTTTGACTTGGTGATCTATTCACTCCCCCCCTAGATAAGTTGTCGTCATCCAACATATATATATATATATATATATATATATATATATATATATATATATATATATATATATATATATATATATATATATATATATATATATATATATCATGATGATAAAATGAGGCATATGGAGTATATGAGAAATTCGTTGTTGTTCATCGCAACCACCAACTCTCTAGTAAATTCCAATTTCATAATGGAAGGCGTTAGCCTAGCCGGATTCGAACAGGAAACGCTTGGATGGAAGGCGTTAGGACAAGAATGGCTACCACTCAACCAATGTGTTGTTTGGTATAATATATGAACGAATATGCACATAACATCTCTAAGTGACCAGTAATTAAAAAGAGGCTTCCTTCCACCAAATGATACAAATTTCTCTATAAATAGAGATATTGTGCAAACTCAAATTTGACATGAAAAATAGTATATTTCAAGAGTAAAAAATTATATCTAAGTCATTTCTTTTTTTTTCTAGTGCACGAAAATAAATGAGGAAACTTTATTTGGTAAAATATCATTAATCGATATGATTAATGTGAATGTGCGATTCATGTTAAGGTTTCTAAAGTATCCTAAAGGGGATTTGCCAGATAAGATAACCCATTTGCATCCAATTTGCCTAAATTGGTTAGGAGAATCAAACCTAAAGTTTAGTGTAAACACTGACTTTGAAATTTATTTTGTGCAACTCTCATCATGCCATCTTTATCTTATTCTCTTTCATATTTTACAACAGACACCCAACAAAAGATCTAACAGATGATACTTGCAAGAACAATAGATTCACAAGCATTCTAGTATAAATTGAATGATTGAGTTGGAGAACAACACATCTGTTAGCCGAGGAAGATAATTCTAAATAAATTAGAGAAGAAACGGATATCCTCGAAGAAAAAACAAAGATTACCGCCTTCATGAGAGTCGTCATCAAACAAGATATCACTATACAATACAAAAAGCGCGTTCGACCTAGAGAATTTCAAGTTGGTGATCTCTTGTTAAGACAGGTCGATGTGGGAGGGAATAATGCCTGAGACAAGAAGCTTACAGCTAGTTACTAAAGAACGTATAGAGTTCAAACGTCATCGAGAAATGAGCGTACACCTTATAAACCTAGATGGGAGAACAAATTATAAGAACATGGAACGCCACCAAGCTCAAGTGATACTTTAATTGAAATATTTTTGTATAATACTAAGGGTGCATGATTTAGTTACCGCTTTTGTAATGATTTTACTAGGATATTATGGTGAAATCTTTACATAAATGGTGAAATCTTTCCGTAAAGTACTAAGGGTGAATGATTTAATTACCACTTATGTAATGACCTGCCTCTTTTTCATTGTGAAATTGTATGGAATTCCTTTTGCAATGAAAACAGGGAGCAAGAAAAACAAAGTGCATTATGTTACAGTTGGTGCACTGCCTTTTTAGAAGCTACCCACACCAAAAGAGAAGGCAGTAGAGCCTAGGATACATCAACCTCAAACCATGTTTAAATCTGGGGGCAGGAAAGGAGGCCTAACCCTTGGCTAGGAACGGTCTATGTGGCACGAAGATACTACACCAACTCCCTACGAATGAGATAGATAATGACTAAAGTAATAACTTACGTCAGCTCCCTACAAATGGGACATGTAATAATGAAACAAAGAGATTACGTTAGTTCCTAACAAATGGGAGAGAGGTACTGACGAAGTAGACACAAATTAGCTAAATAATCATGGTTGAAAAAACAAACAAGAACATATCATCTAGTTAAGTCAGAATATGATTTACAAATTAACAAAGCCATTGAGGCATGAAGTTATAAGAGGATATGTTTATAACAAATAAAGTCATTTTCACCTTCACTCAAACACCCTAACCTGCCTAGGGTCACACATTTAAAATTCATGTGAAACGCTCTAATGATGGAAAGGATATTTAATACGTTAGATAACTATTATTATAATTTTCACCAAATTCATAATTTAGAATTGAAATATTTGAATGTAAACTTTAGCCATCTATGTCTATTATTTTTCAGTTTTGAAAATTTTGCCACCAGAGAAATTACCGAGTTGAGTCGCGGATCGATTCGCTCTCTTTAAGATATTTCGCGACACTGCTCAAAATTTTACAAAGCAGTCGAACTATTGTGTTGCCTCCAGGATAAAATAACTCAGTTCTATACTGGGCGGTTACTACTTGCACGGTAGATAACTCAGTTTTATACTGGGTAATTACTACTTGCACGGTACATAATCGGATAATTCTCTAAAGACAATTCAAGAAAATAACAATTCGAAAGACACTAAGTTATGAGAGTGAAGAAAGAAAAACTAATAAAATAATTTTTGATGTATTTTAAAATAAAACAAGTGATTTCCTTATATAATAAAGTGATCTAGTTAATATTTCTCACATAAACAATTTGGGACTAAGGAATTTTTTCAACCACAAAAATTATTCTGAACAATATGGGACTTAAGAAACTAAATTCAACATTTCAGACGATGGACATATTCCAACAATATCCGACCATGAGAAAAGAATCGCCAATTGGAGGACTATTCTTTTTATATTGTGGGGGAGGATGGAATAATAAATAGGAAAAAATTATGTGTATTTTCTTAAGTGTGATTTATGTTTTTTTTCAATGAAAATATAATAAATGTATAATTTTCTCTTACACATATGCAATTTATTCATATTTTTACTCGTTAAAAGATATTTAAATATATTTATCATATTTTTATTAGGGAAAAATATGAACTACACCTATGAAATTTTATTAAAGTATTCTCCTAATAAATAATTCCAACTCATCCAGTCACCACTGACGGATATTGATTAATACTTTAATTTATTTTATATAGTTCCACCCACAGAAATCATGAATTTGTTTTAAATTGGAACCTTCCCAACTATGACCACTCTCCTCCACCCTTAGTCCAATGACTTGAGTAACATAACTTTCAATAGAACACACGCGGACAAAAATATCTTCACCCAAAAAGTTCACAACAGTTGTTCAGTTGACTATGTTTTAACCTTTCACACTTGTTTTTCTTTTCTTATTCGTAACACTCAAGTATATGTCTATATATTTGTAGAAAGAAAATAAAATTTGCATCACATCATAGATAGAACTAGTTTAACACTAATTAGATTATTGAAAGCAACTTGCTCACATTTGTGAAGTCTCTTCATCAACAAGTGTTGATTGATGGCAGGAGGGTTGGTTGAAGGAGCTGTTCTTGGAGCAGTATTTCAAGAAGGGACAAAACCAATCACAAACCAGATATCCAAAGCTTGGAATTTCAGAAAAACACGCAAAAACCTCGCCTCTCTTGTGCATCGCATCATGCCAGCAGCCAAACAAATGAAACTGTTGGATGAGAAATTGGTTCGTCCAACAGAAGAAACTGATAGGCTAATACAAGAGATTGAACAAGGGAGAGAATCAGTTAACAAACTCTCCAACGTCCCTTGGTGGAAATGTTGTTGTTTACCTTGTTATCAAGGAGAGCTTCATGATGAGGAAGAGAAAATTGCTAGATCAAGTAGTCTTGTTACCCCGTTTACTATGGCAAGAGATGTTAAAGAGACACTGTCCATAGTGACAGATATCAAGGGGAGACAATTCAACAGGTTATGTGATGCTCCTGTTAAACCTCATTTCACTATTGGGCTGGATTTTCCTTTGAATCAGTTGAAGAATTGGCTGCTCAGTAAAGACAGGTCTGTACGCGTGTTAACCGGCTTGGCTGGTTCCGGGAAGACCACTTTAGCTTCGTTGCTGTGTTGGGATCAACAAGTCAGAGGTAACATATACATAACTCTAGATTGAAAGCATGTCACTTTCACTACTTATGTTTACGTATCAGTGTTGTGTTAGATATTTAAGAATCCTGTTTGTTTGTTTGTACTAGGTAAATTTGGACAAAACATTTTGTTCTTCACTGTGTCAAAAACTCCAAATTTGAAGAATATTGTGCAGAATTTGTTTCAACATTGTGGACATGATGAGCCTTGCTTCGTAGACGATGATGATGCAGTCAAAAACTTGTCAAATTTGCTAACCGAAATTGGGGAAAGTTGTCCATTGATGATGGTTCTTGATAATGTTCCCCCAGGCTTAGAATCCTTTGTTGAGGCATTTCAGGTTCAAGTTCCGGATTGTAAAATTTTGATAACTTCTAGAGTTGAGTTTCCACGGTTTGAAACAACATCCTTAAGGCCACTTAGCCTTGTCGACGCGATTACCCTTTTCAGTCGCTTTGCACTGCCAAATGATGGGAAAAGAGGAACTTATGTTCCTGATGAAGAATATCTTCAAGAGGTTTGTTATATTCGTCTCATTAGTCTTAATCTTCTGCCAAATTTTGTCACCAAAGTTACACTCACTTTTCTGTTACATCATTAATAATAAGTTTTTTTTAAGGTTTGTTATATTTGTCCAATTAACATATAGTCAAACTCGTCCCGTGTTTATATAAATATCTGTCAATATGATCAAAACCTCAGTATTGTTACACTCAATTGCAGATAGCAAAGGGTTGTTGGGGTTCTCCACTGGCCCTTAAATTGATTGGTGGATCACTATGTGGGCAACCTATTGCGGTGTGGAAAAAAATGGTGAGCTTGTTGTCAAGAGGTCGTTCTATTGTTTTTTCGAATAATGATTTGCTTAGTCGCCTTCAAAAAGTTTTGGAGGAAGCACTGGAAGATAATCACATAATCAAGGAGTGCTTCATGGACCTTGGATTATTTTTTGAAGACAAAAAAATACCTGTTGCTGCTCTCATTGACATGTGGACAGAACTGAACAACCTAGACGACGACAACATAGATGGAATGAACATTGTTCATGATTTAGACAACCTGCATTTGGTTAATCTTGTAGTTGCAAGGTACATTAGTTAGCTACTTTTTTCATGCTTTTAATTGTAGTTACAATTTTACGGCAGTAATCTTTGATATAACAATCATGCTGATCTATAAACAGAAAATGTTAGTATAGGGAAAATATTTTAGGGCTATGTAAAGTTATATGCCTGCATATAATATTTGTTAATTAACCAGGGAAGTGACTAGTCACGTTGACAATTACTACAACCACCATTTTCTTACACAGCATGACCTTCTTAAAGAGATAGCTATCCATCAAGCCAGACAGGAACCATATGAGCACAGGAAAAGGTTGATTTTTGACATGAAGGAAAATAGTTGGGATCGACAGAACAAGAAAAATACCGTTGCTCGCACATTGTCCATATCAACTGGTCATTTAATCGCTCCGCTATAAATTGCATACACAATTTCACACACATATTATTTTCCCTCCTGACACCATATGTAATACTCTTGCAGACAAAATGTTGACCCCAGATTGGAGCAATATTGTGAAAGTTGAACGAGTTGAGGTTCTGATCTTGAATCTGCATACTGATAAGTATACCTTACCAGAGTGTATAAAGAAAATGACTAAACTGAAAGTTTTGATAATCACCAATTATAACGGTTTCAGCTTTGCTGAACTAGAAAATTTTGAGATACTTGGTTGTCTACCCAATCTTAGAATAATCAGATTGCAACAGGTTTCAGTTCCTTCCCTTTGCACATTGAACAGACTGCGAAAGTTGTCCCTTTATAATTGCAAAACAAGACATGATTTTCAAAGTGAAACCATTTCAGTTTCAAAGGTTCTCCCAAATCTAGAAGAGTTGTGTATTGATTATTGCAAAGATTTAGTAACACTTCCTGTTGGGCTTTGTTATATTACTTCCCTCAAGAAGCTCAGTATCACAAGGTGCATTAACTTTCTTGTGCCACCGCAAGAAATTGGAAACCTCGAGAATTTGAAAGTATTAAGACTTAGTTCTTGTGCTGAGTTGGGGGAGATGCCAGCTTCTATTGGAAATCTTCATGAGCTTCATTTTCTTGATATATCAGGTTGTGCAAGCCTTCACACTTTACCAGAAGAAATTGGAAACTTGCATAATCTAAAAGAGCTTCACATGACTAGTTTTTCAACATTGCCATGGTCAGTCACAAAACTTGAGAGTTTAAAGTATTTAATATGTGATCAAGAGACTGCTCAATGTTGGGAACATTTCAAGCCTAGCCTTCCCAATCTAAAAATAGAAGAGGCTGAAGTTAACTTATTCATTATTGTATGATACTAAATACTGGATAGTCTGTATTACTTCATTTGTTTGTTTTGTTTGTTGTCATAGCAATATGTGTAATGAACTCGATGATTATGAATTTATTCAATATATCCTTGTGCGTGGTTGTATACTTACGTATGTGTTCCTTTATTTGAAACCTCATCATGTTGTGTATGTAACCTATATGCGGTTAAGGATGTAAATTCTCGGCGACAAGCATTTGAGGTGTCCATGACCAGTTTGTTTATTATGTGCGAAAGAGACTCCGGGTCGTTGCAAGAGTACCTGGTGAAATTCAATGAGGTCACCATTAAGATAATCAACTCTAACAAAAGAGATGTTCGTGAGAGCCGTATAAAACAGACCGGAAGTTGGACACTTCTACAAGTTTCTCGCCCAGGAGCCCGCAGACTCCATGGAAGAGATTATGGTGAGGGTCTAATGTTATATAAAGGGGGAGAAAAGCAATTCCGAGAAGAAGGACATGGATGCGAAGGAGTGTGGCAATGGGAGGCCTGAATTCTCCCACAAGCGCGAGAACCACTTCCCACAACCTATCCGAGATAGGGAAGCGTTCAAATCCACCAGGAAGCCTATAGAAAACTACACGGCGATCAACACTTGACGAGAACAGATGTGGTGGGAAGTATTCCTTAGCAACGTCGTTCCTAATCCCTCAACTCCGAAGTGGGAAATAATGGGAAATATACTGAATAAGTGATGTAAATACCACAAAGTTATGAGTCATTACACAAATAATTATCATCAGCTAACGAAGGAGATAGAGTGCCTTGTCCAGAAAGTCCATTTAAAAAGGTACGTCCAGAACAATAATATAGTCATGGGGAAGGGCCCACATGATAGGAAGAGATCGACCTATAAACTCCTAACCATGAGAGAAAGAGAGTCAAACAAAAGAAAAGATGGTGAGCCAGTTCTTCATATACACCATCACAAGAGGCTTTCCTAGAGGAGAGGAACAAAGCTCTTCTAGTAAATGATACCCACGCCAAGTGATACATGTTGATAGAACAGAGGTAAGATAGAATATGACAGAGAAAATTATTTTATTAATGAATATGAAAGTAGAAAGTAAATCCAGAGCTAGTGCTTCAGTCTGAGAAAATAATTATCTCACTGCCTAAATCCTAATAATGAAAAATAGTAAATAATAATCTACCTAGCTACTGCCTCATATACTCCTATTTATATGGGAAATGCTAACTAAGTCAACTCATATTTGTTTGGGGAATACTAACAACCTAACTGAGCCAACTCCTATTTATTTGAGGAATACTAACTAGTGGATCAATTATTCAATTACTTACCTTTCTTATTCTTTCTCACATATATCCTTCACTGTTTAGGCCTTACATTATCTCTGTTAACTAACAAATCCTCATCATCACTTGTGTGGTCCAATCCAGACCTATCATCACCCCATTTGCAACATTAGCCATGTCCTCAAGACACAGATCAGGGAATTGACTCTTCAACAACAATTCTTCTTCCCACGTAGCATCTCCAACATCCATCCCTTCCCATGGAATCAACCATTCTCTCTTATGTTGTCCACCATCAAACTTGTTCCTCCATGACAAAACCTTAGTCGGAGTAATGTCCCATTTTTCTGACTCTAAATTTTTAGGTAGCTGAGTTGTAGCAGTATAGTTACCCACCGCTATCTTCAATTGCGACAAATGAAAGGTAGGATGTATTTTAGATGTCGGTGGTAACTGAAATTCTGGTATCAGATATGTGATGTCGAAGGAGATGTCATGACACAAATATCTGAGGACAATATAAAATGCAACAATATAAAAGCAGTAAAAACACAAGAGATTGTTAACCCAGTTCGGTATACAACAACACCTACTCTGGGGGCTACCAAGCCATGGATAAGTCCACTAAATAGTATCAATTCATAGGCCCTCAGTAAACAACCAGTTTACGATCTAATCACTTAATCACTACACGTGCTATACTTCTACCTAAGACACACCTAGGTATGAGATCCTCCTCAAATCCCTTCAATCACTAACAGTGAAAAACAACATAATTATTAAGTTTGAAAAACTTTAATCATTCAATACTTAAAAGCTTATGAATGATCCGCAATTTACAACTCAACTAACAAATTACAACTCAAGTATTGAAACAATACTAGAGTGTATTACAATTAAAATATTCAGACTTTTAAACATAAATAATATATTTTTCTTTAATTGTTGCAGTTGTACGAATAAGATTGCAAGTCCTTATAAAGGCGCAACAACTTCTTTATGGGCTTGGGCTGAAAAACAAATATTGCAACATATTGAATCCCTTGAATATCTCCATGAAAGTAGGCCAAGATTTAATTCATAAAGATAAAACAGATCAAAAAATATTCCTCCATATTTTTCGGAAGTTATAAACCACAAAACTTGAATAAGACGCGCTTAAAAACAGGAAATAGAATATCTGAAAAATACGTTCAGGTCAGAAGGCAAATGTTTAGACATCTTCTTTGACGTCATTCAAAATCAGTTGAGATTATTTACTTCAAATGTCAATACAGTAAGCAAAACATTACCAACGCAGTGTTTTACTAAAATTGCTGCCAACAAAAACTTACAAACTCCCCCTGTGGCAAATTTTGGCTAAAACATTATTTGAGCACATTATCAGAGCAGCAACACAAGCAAAAGAAACTCAGTTAGCAGTTAGCAGTGGATGATGTGAGGACATCTTCTGAGACATGAAGTTCCCCCTCAAACTTACCAGTTGTAGCTAGACAGTCATTCAGTCAGTTTCTCTCCTCCTTTTTAGACATAATATATCAAATAAACATGCATTAAAGAGAGCAGTAGAAAATAGGAGTACAGACCAAAATATCCAAGTATTAAGCACATACAAGTGCTAAAGAAAAAGAACATAGGAATCAACACCCAAAATAAAAAACATAAAAAGAAGGCACCAGCATAGAGTCTAATTGTCTTCAGGACCAGTAGACTTGGCAACTTCAGAACTTCCTTTATTATCAGAATCTCCTCCTTCAGTACCCACTCTATCATCAAGGTTGTTATCCTTCTGCAACTCCTTGATCAACTTTTCAAATTTTAGCTTTCTTGCTGAGCTAACTTTGATTACCTTATCAAGTTCTTTTCAGGCTTCCATTAACTCAGTAATCATATCATCCTTGTTTGAGGTCTTGTTTTCAGAGGATGCAGATGTCAAGACAATGTTTGAGACATGTTTACCTGAAAACAACTTGAAGTGAAGGGACATGGATGACTCCCTTTTGCAAACTACATAAGTGCCACACAAAATTCCAGGATGTTGATTTAGATTAATTCCACAAATAAGAGATGCAAAGGCAATAGGCATCTTGATAGCATAAGTTCCTGCATGCTTTATAGTCTGTTCAAAAATGTAAGCACCATAATCAAACAACTTCTTATTTCCAACAACATAGATGAATTTTCCCAAACCAACTGTAACGGTTGAGGTATGATTGGTAGAGACCCATTTAGCAGCTCCAATTCTATGCAGGATAGCATAATTCACACTTAACTTACTAACAGGAAGCTTATTCTTCATAGGCCAATCACTTACTTGGTTTGCAACGATGGCTTTGCACACTTGATTATCAGTCACTTCCAACTCACAGTAATCATCTTCAGACCTACCCAGATATCTATTGATGGTAGCATGGGAAATTCAACACATCTATCTCTAACAAACACCTTCCTATATTCCTTACTTCTGTGATCAGCATAATCTATAGGAATATTAACAATAAATTCACTTACAAGAGTTTCATAACAATTTGCGAACCTGGTGACAGACTTCACCAAGCCAGTAAAAGAAATCAGCTCCATAATCTCTTTTCACTCCACTGCACCTGCTCTCAACTCTCTTTCAAGAGTAATCCTTCTTTGAAAGATATATTTCCATTTTTCAGCATTGCCAACAGAATGGAAGGAAATGTTGTCAAGAGGAGCATCAGGCACCTTGACAGAAAGCTTCTTGCTTGCGGACTTCTTCAAAGGAGAGATTTCTTGGACATCATCCTCGAGATCATAACCAGGTTCAACATCTTCTACCATTGCATCTTTCTTCTTACCTTTAGATATATTCACAGGTGAGATGTTCTGGACATCATCTTTATCATCATCTGAGGAGCTATCAGATCTAACTTTTCTTTTATTGGAGGGAGGAACCGCTTTACTCCAGGGCTTTGGGGGACCATACATAGTCTTATTCTTGATACTCTTGGCAGAGGATGTGACATCCAAAGCCTTCCCTTTTCTAGACTTGAGCCTTTTAGCAATTCTGGGCACCATATTGGAAATAAGGTCATTGTCAGACAGCTCATCAACATTCAACACATTCTCAGCATTTGGATTATTTGCAGTTTTGGAGCCAGCAACATCTTCCTTAGTGGAATAGTCCTTCTCAACAGATGATGTCTCAACATCTTGTTCAACATGAGATTCCACTTATTCTAGAACAGATGTAGCAAACTTGCCAAGTTCACTTTCAGCAACATCTTTCTTTAAGATAAATGATTCAACAGTATTTTGAGGATCAGTACCTTTGTCAGCCTGAGCATGCATTCGGGCAAGAGGAATAGAAATCCCAGGCACAACAAAACCCTCATTTAACACCATATCTACCAGACTTCTAATACTCCTGTCAACATTAACAGTGTCTTCTTCTGACCTATCATCAGTAGTATTAGGAGCATTACCTTTAGAAGTGTCAAACTCATCTTTGGATTTCTTTGCATGGGACGATCTGGGTTTCTTGAACTTCTTCTCAAGAGGTGGAACAATTGTCAGAGGAGCAACAACAAGGACTTTATCAAGGGAGAGATCCTCAGGATGGTTGACAGACTTTGACCTGGAAGCCTTGGCTTCATTAGAAGAGCACTTTGAGGGAGACGAAGCATGATGCTGAGACATCTTTGAATATTTTTTAACAGTGAGATGAAAAATAACAAGGGTTCTTTTTCTGTAAAGGAG